GTTACGGTGCTATTTTGGTACATTTATTTGAGCCATAGCCATGCGTGTCTTTTTGTTTCCCCCGGCCCCTCGATTGGAAGCACGCAGGAGCTGGAGTTCGCGAGCCAAGCTGAGGACCGGAAGCTGACGAGCTGGTTGTCGAGGAATGAGTTGGAACCTGTAGCAAATTGTGTTCAGTCAGTTTTTTGTTTTTTCCCGGAGATGGGGCGTGAAGGATGCGTGGACAGATGTTTTGTTGGTCATTCATCCAGAGGCTAATTTTGTATTCAACCATGGATCTGATGGAAAATAAGATGGTTTCCCTGGGTTTGGTGGTGTGGAAGGAAAGAACCCTGGCGAGAATGCAGAGGAACCCCTGGAATTCAAGTGATGTGACATTTAGGAAGAACCCTCTTCAAACATAGGTGGTCGGCATTGCAGTTCTTTGGACGAATAGACTTGAATTCACGAGGGGATTGTTTCCTCCAAAAGTGAAGGACTGAATCGACCGGAGCATCCCAGTCGACCGGTTCAACATTGCATGTCAAAACCGATGACCTGCTTTGGGGTTCATGTTCAGGGAAATAGCATGCGAAGCACTTGCAGTCCCCAGTTTTGAGAAAAACCTGTGCCCGGATTCCCTCTAAGGCGGCCTTGTTCGCGTATTCAGTCAAGGTTCTAAGAGGCCAACCTTCTAGGTTGTTGATTCCCCATTCTTTTCAACCATCGTTCCTTTCAAACACCAGCCGCTTCCCTGGGGTTTGGATGGTTTCCTGAAAAGGATCCCTGGAAAGAATGGGGAAGGTACCCATGGAAACCTTCTATTTTTAAGAATACATCGTTCGTACCTGCGTTTGCAACCCGACAGCCACAGTGGACGGCCACAGATTGACAACCACGGGCGCCCATCCAAGGCGATCCTGTGTCAGGCAGGTTTCAGGGGAATTCTACCACGATCCTCGTCCAAATGGAGCCCTTCCTTGAAACCAGTAATCTGCCGTCTGCCGAAGGAACTTTGTGAAATGCCCAAGTTGTAGTGTTTTGGATTTGTCGATTGAATGTTAAAAGGCATATGCTAAAATTACAATTTACAATTTGGGTTTACAACTAAAGGAAGGGCAGTGCCAACAGTATCCCCTGATAAGGGCTGTTAGGAGTTTAGTCTTGGCTTGGTATTGGGTGTTTGTGAATTGGTGGACATATTAATTAATAAGTTTGATTGCCCCAAAGGGAAACCAAGAAGGCAAGTTTTGGGGGTCCCTCCCAAAAACGGAGACACATTTGTTGCCCCAACAACGACACCTATGCATTCATCAGGGCGACCTGGTTGGCAAGCAAGTGTGGTTCTGGGCTGCCCCTTTGGCAGCACTGGACGTTGGGCCAGGCACGTTTCAACTTGATACGATTGCCCTCCCACCAATTAACATGGCACCTGACAGGGGGGTCCCTGGAAATACACGTGTGTTTGGGAAAATTGCAGCTAAATGGGCATGGCCGCTGTTTTGCGAGAGGGCTTAAAGTGGAATCAACAGGAAAACCGAAATCCATTCTGGGGGTGGCCTGATTTCAACACATAGTTTAGACCGTTTAGACCGTCGGATAATCGGCCTTGTTTCATTTTAAAGGGAGCCAGGCTTTGGTGGCTTTTAAACACATCTTCTCCAACCCTGCAAGCAGTAAAAGCCTCTTCCGACAAATCTCCGGGAACCTTCTCTAGACGTTGCCACCCTCAGCACGGAAGTATTTCCTGGATGCGAATGGATGCTTTAGCGTTGTCGGCTAGCCCCAAACGATACGATAATGGCGGTGTGGGACGAAAATGTCCATTTCACTGGGAGTCACCTCGAGATTGTTCAAGTTGGTGGTTTCTGTGGCGATGCCTCGTTTCAACTCACGCGCTTTGAGATGAATACGGGTTCATCTCCACCCCGAAAAATGGAATTGGGGGAGGGCGGTAAACACTGGAGTTTCTTTTTAGTTTCCCTCGTACGGGGAATGCTGTATAGATAAATGGAATGGGGGGATTTCTTGTTTCTTACCTAAGCAGGTAAGGGCGGGATGTGTGACTTATCCATGTGTTTATTTCCATCAATGCTTGCACTCAAGCTGACTGCCCTTTCAGAGACTTATTTGTGTGCTTTTCCGATGGATTTTGACGAGCCTCCCTACTCGGATCCCATCAAAGAATCCCAAGACAGGAATGCAGTATTGGCCAACTTGTTGGGTTTGGTTACTGCCAATACCCCGAAGTATCACCAGGGCTGTGATGCCAAACGCGAGTTGGTGGGCTACCCTCGTTACGTGTCGTCCTGAAAGGCTCATTATTGTTGGATGAAGGGTACCACCCCCGGATCCTTTGCTTTTAATCAGAGACCACAAGGAAACCAGGCTTTTGGTTGGGTTCCTCATTTTAAGAAATACCCCACCTTGAGGAATTCACCTAGAACCGTGGGTTTTCTTGGTCTCTTTGATTTGGGGGGGTCGTCAAATAACCGCTACTCAGCCCCGCTACTCAGCCCCTTCGGGCCCTTTTTGCGTCAGACGCTAAGGAAATGCTGGATGGCGGCAGGCGGGAGTTGGGCGCGGGTTGCGTCTGAACGCCCGACCTGCGTTCTGGCCTAGTGCATTAGTGACCCCATTTGTCCTACGTATAATGTGTATATATAATATGACATATTATTTGCCATATGTATATTATTTGCATATATATATATATATATACATATTGTACATACCTATACATAATATATATATATATATACATATAAATATGTACATGCACTTGAATCAACATATATATATATATATATGCAACTTGGAAGAGCAACATCATTGAGGGGTAGAATTAGTTGCCTTGGTTGCTACTGAGGTTCCACGTGAGATAGCCGAGCAAGTTTTCTGTCCTGTTTGGGTGAGCAACTGGACATGTCAGGCTGCGGGTGGCCCAAAAACCAACTTCACGGCCTGAGCTTTGGGCTTCCCAAACCGGACTGTTAGGGTCCCTGAAATGGTTGTCCATCGGGCCCGGGGGTTTGCATTTAAGGGTTGAAGCCAATCTGCCTGCCCTGTTGATGGTGGTTTGCTAAGTTCAGTGTGTGCTGTTGGGAGGTGAATTTGAAGTTGAGGTGAAAGAAGATGTGAGCAGAAGGCTTTACTTCCGAAAGCCGGAAGCCGCATGTTTCCAGACTTTGAACCTGTGCGTTGCAAAGTTCCAGCAGCAAGTTTGGACGAGGGCCCCTACTGACAATGAGCAGAACTCGTCTTGGTTTGGGCCTTGGAATCTGCTCATTTCATGGACCGACTTGCCCAAAGCCGACCTTTTGACCTTTCGATGTTCCCTGTTGGGTTTAGTCAGAAGTGGATAAACAGATGGAGTCTCGTTTAAGAGAAGCAAAACAAAACGTCGCTTCTGATTTTGTGTTGACCTCATTTCAAGGGCCTTGTTGAGGGTCCGTTTGATGCTTGTCTCAAAAGCTAAACCACGTATTTCATGGTCCTTTGGCAGAGCAAAAGGAGCAGCTTCACTTTCGCCAAGTCATTTAAGCCGGCGCCCGTGGCAAAACAAATCGTTTACGGGGGGATCCGTTCAGTCGATGTAGCTGCATCCAGGTGAAACCGAAAAGAAAAAAAACACCACGAGTCCGTCAGACTACTGTCGATGACTCCAAATATGCAATGGACCTTAAGTTGTTGTTCTGCTGGGCTGATTCAAAAACCTGGCTCGACAGGAAATGGCGGGCCCGTGACGTGAGCCTCTCTTCGGAGGCTGGGGAATTCAGAGAACTCAAGGGACGTGGGATCAGGTTTCCACCAGTTGTTCTTTAGGTCGGTGGTTTGGGGATTTGAACCCCTGCTTCTTGTAGAGGTTTAATGTGAACCCCCTCCTGAGCCAGCAAGCCACCAAAACAAACCACCAAGTGGAGAATGGATGGTGCAAGCCTCCCTCTATCCTGAAGGTGTGAGAGAGGCTTGCAAACCCCGCCTGGGTATACGTCTTGCCCGCATCCGATGTTGATCAAGAACTACCAAGCAAGGTAGCAATAGGACGGAATTTCCGGAGTTTTTGCTCAGTGCAGAAAACATCAACACGTTTGTCCAGGCTTTCAATGCCAAATCCAGCATCAATTTGTTGAGTCTCTGGAAGGAATGAAGGGAGCGTCTAAAAGCTCTTCCAGGAAGGGCTCCTGTCACTTTTCCAAATCCCGGCGTCCGGCTGCGCCTCTTTCCCTTTGTTCGCAGGCCCCTGTTTCAAATCCAATCAGAGCGCGCTCAAATGCGTTGGCCCATGGGCCGCCCTTTTCTGTCCCAACCTGCCTACAGCTCGATAGGAACCTTTCCAACTTGGCGTCTGTGATGCTTATGACTCGCTGGTTCTCAGCGAATGATTACAGGGTTTGGGGAATGCAGCGGAATGCACCTTGGGATCCCTGAAAGGAAGTCACTTCGATGGTTCAGGTCGGGGGTAATTGTGCAGAGAACAATGTGAATATGCCACTCGGATGTACTCTTAAACCATTTCTTGGTACGAAAAAAAAGTAGACGCCCTTCGCAATTGGGTATGCCCACTGCTTCCAGCAATACTTGCGACATGGCTGGGACTGGGACCCGTTGGTTGAGGATGGTCGAAAAGGGGCCTGCGGACACGAGTCAGGGCCAAGCCCTATACAAGGCCAATATTGAGGTGGGAGAGAGCAAGCCGCATCCGGTCCGCAACCCCAGGGGAATAAAGCCAGGTCGATGTGTTTGTGTGTGTGTGTGTGTGTTTCGTCAGGGAGCCAGTCCAACAAAACCCCGATCTTTCCAGAATTTTGAAGGACACCAAACTTGAAAGCACTGGGAATCCAACTATGAGACCTTCTTAGAGAATCCCCTTCTCCAGGAATTGCAACCCCGGACTGGTTTGCTCGTTTCCCCAAACCCAAAAACGGACCGCCCCAAACTGCAATCCCAGGGCGGCAAGCGCCCTGCGGACCACCCGCTGAACGCCAAGCGCCGGCGGGTGCGCAGCTCATTTGTTCGGATTCGTGGACCGCAGAGCGAGGGTTCGAGGCCAGGAGAAGCAAAACCATGCGCCCATAGGGCCAAAACCCAAGCCTTTGCGCAACCGAGACCGGAACCCAGATAAAAAAAGGTGCTCATTTGGTGTTTCGCAGGTCCTGGGTTTCAATGGCAGGGCTTGTAGTTGCACCCGTCTACGTTCGGCGAAGCATCATGATCTTACTGGACTCCATGTCAGATCGGTGATGCAAGGTTGTTCTCAACGAAAGAGCGACTTTCCGCAACCATGATTGCAGCTGGATGGAAACGGCATCGATCAAATCCTGGAAGCCTTAGATACTGACGCAGATTGCTCGTGGAGCTATTGGGGGACATCCAATCACATGCCCGAAACAAAACAACTACTTGAAGTGGTTGTGAAAAGTTCCCCAATTTAGCTTTGTGTGTGTTTGGGTGGTGAGCTCTGAATCAGGACATCCCAACATCAGTCGCCAAAACGCTCTGCTTGTCAAACGAAGGCCTGAACCACTCTTCCAACACCTCTTTGTTTGCAATGCGCACTTGTCAGTCACACCTTGTTCCCTTTTTGTTTGGTTGCCCAATACGAATTGTCAAACTCCATTGCGGTCCCCTTTGAGTCTTTGCCAGGGTCAGGTAATTGGGCATATGTCATGTTTCAGTCGCCAATGGCCAGCGGGAAGCATGAACCAAACATCCCAGCTCAGTTCTAAAAGCCAAAGGAACGTGTTGGCCTTCAAAGAGCCGGCAGGCTCCTGATTGCAAGTCATGGCGGCGGATCCAAGACCACCTTTTTGAAGCCATTGGTCACCTCAGTGGATCTTCCAAGAGCCGGAGTTCTGCCCCTTGTGTATCAAATATGGGTGGTGCATCCTGCCAAGGGGGCATGTGAATCAATACTGCGTATATCTTCTATGTCAGCTGGCAGACGAATCGCGATGGATCCTGCGTATTTTCCATGCATGACGTGGCCGCCACAATTCACGGACTTGCCAGCAAGATGGCGGGTGGGCCGTGTTTAGCCGGTTCAATAAGCGCAGAGGGCTGGTGCGTGTTGAACAAGCGGGACGAGGGCAGAAGCTAACTTGGCTGCCTTCGATTCCTGGGCAGCACTTCCACATGCACCTGCCTATTTGCTGGCAGGCGGTTTGCTGTTTGGTTCACGACACTGAACATGTGCACGCCTTTAGAGTCGCGGCTTGCTTTTCCCATCTGAGAATTATCGGCTGGATTCCCAGACATCTTGCATCTTTGCCCCCTGATGCCATCGGTCTGATTGAGATCCTGAGATTTACGTGGAAGACACCAAGTTACAGCCCTCTCCGATGATTTTAAGGCACCTTTGCTTATTTTGCAGAAGTGGTGTAATTAACTTTGCCAATTTTGCAGAAGTGGTGTAACTTCTGTAGAATCAAGTCCCCCCTTGGTGATTGGGGATAAGCCCAAGAGGAGTTTTTTTCGGGGCAACTGCTGAGACATTCTCAGGTGGAGGGCGCTGAGGTCACGGGGCAGGGCACCAAGTGGCCGATCTTTTCCCCAGCTGAAAGCTATGTGGTTCAAAACCAATGGTCCCATTTTGGGGTTTTCGGTGCACCACCCATTTTAGAACCTATTTTAGTGGGGATTGGAATGTTGACTGGGGGTACGGGGTTTTGACCCATAGCCACGTGGTCGATAGGCCGGCTCATAGGCGACTCTGAAGGGGTTTGTGGCAGCTGCATCAGGGAGGGTTCTGGAGAGTTCCAGGAAAGGTCCGATAGAGATGCCACTAGGCTTATTTACGACAGCAGACCCTATGTCTGATGGTTTTTAGGTCAGCGGCTGTTTGGCGAGACAACTTGGGACATGAGCCGAATTCCATTTCCCTTCGAGCTGAAATGTGAGGATCATGCTGGACCCACTGGTTGTGGAAGTTGGTCGACAAACTTTCATTGGTTTGGCCGTGATTTCAGTGGCAATGAGATGCAAGCAAGCACACTTTGCAATTATATACCTCTCTGGACACTTTTATCACACATTTGCGTGGAGCAGGCTGTGTCGTCGTGATTGGCGTTGTTTTAGATTAGCTAGTATATGCCACTTGTCTGGGTCTGTGAATGCTTTCCTGGCCGATGCGGCCAATATCCGACGTGAAGCAGATGGGCTTGCCTCTTATTGACCGATCTATGTTTGGCAATTTGGGTCTGTGACCAGCTTGGACAAAGTTGCCTTTTTTGTTTATGGTCCATTTGTGTGTTTTGGTTGTTTTTTCGGGTCTTTTTCTTTTGTCTGGTTCCTGTGTGTTTGTTTCTTTAAGGTAATAGTTTCTTGGGGACTCCGGCAACCCAGGCAGCGGCTCCAGGGCACCGTCAAGAGCTTTGCCGGGGAGAGCGGCACCCTGTCGTCCCCAGGCGATCCTCTGGCAGCTTGCCCGTTGTGCGCTTTGGGGCAAAGCCGCGGCAGATCTTGGTTTTGGCCCTATGGTCAGGCAACCCTGAGAGGTTTGGAGTGGTTTGGGGATTTGGAGCCTTGGCCCCAGAGGGTAAATGGGAAACCACCCCGCCAGTTTAGGTTTCCCCGAGAGAGTCCTCCTTTCCGCAAGTTGCGCTGGCCCCCAGACCCCGGTTGGCTTTAGGTTGCATCGCCGGAGGTTTCAGAGCAGCTGTTTGTGAGTCATGAGTGGACGCGGCCTCCCAAATGTACAAAAGCAGCGGCCCGCGGGAAAGTGTCCCGTACCTCTTGGGGGTATTTGTAGATTCCGGGGACCAGATGCGTTGTGTTGCATCTCAGAGTTGCACGCATGTTTCTGGGTTGTTGCAAGGTTGCCCTCATTTTTTTCCCCACCCGACAGGAAGGGGTTGTTAGATTTTATGTTGGAATCCGCGTTTGCGATGCTTCTACACCACGCCCCCGCCCAGTATCCCGGCAGAGCAGCTCGCCAGCGGATCCCGCCGAGTATCCCGCCAGAGCTGCTCGCCAGTGGATCCCGCTCAGTATCGCGCCAGAGCTGCTCGCCAGTGGATCCCGCCGAGTATCCCGCCAGAGCGGCTCGCAAGTGGATCCCGCCCAGTATCCCACCAGAGCTGCTCGCCAGTGGATCCCGCCCAGTATCCCGCCAGAGCTGCTCGCCAGTGGATGTATCCCGCCAGAGCGGCTCGCCAGTGGATCCCGCCGAGTATCCCGCTGAGTTGATGGGAATTTGGAGTCGAAGTCCCTAGGATGTGGAGGAACTTGTTGCAACGGTCGTAAGCTCGTGAGTGTGGAGGGTGGGGATTGCTCGAAGCGAAGTATTATTTTGTTTTCTGTGTTCAGCTGTTTCTCAGTAGGGGAATGAGGTTCGTGTTGGCAATGAACCTGGGGATTCCCTTTAAGGAAACCCACCGGTTGGATGGTTTGTGGGGCTCATTTCCCTGCTCTGCCTATGGAACCCTTCGCCAGGCCTGGCGCAAGACGTGGCCTTCCAAAAAGCGTCGCTGCCAGCTGGGACCAAGAGCCCGGCACTCGCATCCAGCGGAGTCCCACCCGGTGTTGAGCTGGTTTTCTGGTTGAAAAATACTGCAGACCGGTTTTAGTTCAGGGGTTCCCTTTAGAATTAAGTGCCAAAGAAAGGGGCTTGTTGCTCTGCTTGTTGTTTTTGGAGGGGTCCCTTTAAAATCAAGTGCCACTAAGAAGGGACGTGTTGCTCTGCTTGAAGATCAAGTGCCAACAAAAAGGGACTCCCTTGAAATTCAAGTGCCGAAGAAAGGGACTTGTTGCGCTGTTTTTTGGAGGGGGTCCTTGAAAACCGGACGACAGGTTTGAAGGGTTTGGTCTTCGGGGCCAGCGAATTTCAAGAGAGATTCCATTTTGCAACATGTTTTTGTGCGTTGGACGTCTAGCATAGGTCTCTGCCTGCCAGAAGTCTGGTGGAAAAGAGTCAAGTCCCAGGCGTAGGGCGAAAGTGGTTTTGGTTGAGTAGGTTTTCCCATAGAATTGACCCACCCCACCTTGTGAACGGGCCTGGCACCTGCCGGGCAGGTGAGCTAGGTTCCTCAGTAGTGCCCTTTGACCCCTTTTTGGGGGAGGGTTCCCCTACTACTATAGACTACAGAAAACATTGGGTACCCTTATTCTAACCTCTCTACTGGAGGACCTAGTGAGAGTTGCTTTTTGACAAGGCGTCACAAAATGTCACCAGGGTCCCATCAATTCAAGACCTCGCATGTTTGACCAGTCAGACCACCTTTGCCGTTTTGTTTGGTTGATTCTGATTGTCAGAATGAAGACTCGGGTGGTGTTTGAAGTGTTTGATGATGAAGCTTGGGGTATGCCAACTTGATTTGCACCCAACTAAACGCTTGTGTCCGTGGTGGACAACATCTCTTTGCCTTTGTGCAAGCGTTGTGCACGATATAATGATTTGTTCAGTCTTGCTGCTGTCGGAGTACCAGTGCTTCAACAGACGCTCGCAATGACCTGATCTTTCGGCCTGCTTTGGCCGGGAACATTGCCAGACATGTTCCTATCAAGAACCACCTCCATTGAACCAGTTAAGAAGGTGTGGCATTTGGGGATGTGGCCATGGGGCATAACCTATGGCTCCATTTTGGGGTAGGTGCACCACCCATTTTACTCTATTTTAGTGGGGATTGGGATGTTCACTGGGGTTACGGGGTTTTGACCCACAGCAATCTGAGTCTGACTAGGTGTGTCCGTCGGACAAAGCGTCGAGTTCGTGCTGCCTCTCCGGCATGAGATTTTGCTGGTGCGGTCGGGCATCTGGGATCGCTCCAAATTTCTTGGTGGTTCCCAGCCATCCCCTTACGTAGCTTTTTAGCTTTTTAGTGTTTAGTGGGGAGTTCCATTCAACCCACTAAAAGTTAAACTTTTAGCGGGGGATCTGAGGACAGCCCAGATTTGGATCAGCAAGAAACACACTGTTTTTGGTCGGGGGCAAAAGCTGAGGGCGTGGAGGTCATGCTTCTTTGAAACACTCAGTCTCCAAATTAGGATTGTGCCAGGGTGGCATTGTTTGGACCCCGTAAAAAACTCAGACTTGTGTGGGGAATGCCAAGCTTGCTCCAGAAAAGCAGAAACAATTTGGACTACACTCTTTGCCCAATGAGGACTCTGATCTGACAAAGTTCTGCATCACCCTACATTTCAACCCCCAGGCTGGATGACAATCCTTAGGTGGGCAATGGTGGTGAATTGTGAACCCCCCAGTGTTTTGGTGGTGGCCTGAACCCCAGGGATCACTTTGGTCCCTTGCGTCTTATCGACGGATCGATCCGATCCGCGCATGGCGAGAAACATCGCGCCGATCGAATGCGTGGCAGGTGAATGAATATGATGTGTTTGGAACATGGGGCAAATTGCCTGTTTCGGGTTTTGTGTTGTTTTTGGGAGGACCTGAGTTGGCAAAATCTCGTCCAATTGTGCCCAGTTGGAACATGGGTGTCTTGTTTCGTTTCAAGAAAAGCCAGAGACTTCACTCAGTGGGTTCACCTAAAGGAGCATTTGCTGGCCAGCCACGGCCAGTGCATTTGCTTTGGGCCAAGCGACTCACAGCGCTTGCCCGGAAGTGACTTCTTCGTTTTTGCCCTTCCTTTGGCTCTGCCTTTGAGTTGGGTGAGTTGCGACTATGGCTACTCCCAGGCTCTTGGGAATTCAGGACAGCGTTTCCAGCCACTTGAGGTTTGACAGCACCGCAGGTCAGATTTATACGCATCCTTTGTTGCCCCATCTCCAGGGTACCGGAGGCATTTGTGTCATGTCCATCAGCACACCCATTGTGATTGCCCTTTGCCGGGGGGTAGCAGTTTGGGAATTCTTGGAATCTGGCCAGGTGTGCTTGATTCATTTGTCCTTTTGCAAGTCTTGTTGAAGGGGTACATTTCTTTGTGGAAGTGTACGGTCTTACATGGCCCGGATGTTTGGTTTGTTCATTGCCTGCTCAAGTTGGTTGGGAACTTGTGCAATTGTCTTGTTTCTTAATTACCATTGCCGCGAACTAGCCGCCATGTGCGATTCATCTGCCAGGGCAGTCGGCGAGAACGTGTCCGCCGAAAGTATCGCACTCATCCACTGAGGGCGCCGCCATTTTCCCACACCCGCGCCATGCGCGTAGGTGGCACTAGGTCGCTACGGCGTTGCCTTGATGTCTGGTTTCTGCTTCTGGCCTTTTCTGAGCCTTCCCCATTTAGATGGCGTGATGGGCTCGTTGCAGTTTGGTTTTGATTTTGGCATGTTGTCACCCTCGCTAGGCCAGGTGCAACCTGCAAATGACGCGCAGTTAGCGAACTCCTGGCTGGCCCTGAGATGTTCAGTGACACATCTCAGGGGTGGCTGGATGTTAAACCGTACGTCTGCTAGACCAGCGGATGAGCTATGAGCGAAACAGCGACCTCCAGGCAAGAGCGGGAGTTCTCAGTGTCTGAGGATTTGATTGCACACCTCTTCTATACTCGGCGACGAGGTTTGCCCCAACCACAAGACGCACTTTGCGTGTCTGCTGACAGGCCATGCCAAGAATTCATATTCACAAAAAGGTACATGAGCTACCCTTGCCAAACATCCATGCCAGGAAATTGCCACGGTACAAGCAAAACTATGGTACAAGGAGGGACTCCAGAGAGACCAAAAATGAACATTATATACTGGATCCAAAGACTCCTCCAATTCGAGGGAAGTGAAGGATCAGCGACTGTACAAGAGATCTAATTACTTGCCTTGAGCAAGATGTTCCGAAGTCGCGTGGGTTTGATCACTGTCGCTCCACTGTTCCGGCATTGACGTCCCCTACCTCAGGGATTCACTCCGGTGCCTAAACTCCTTTCTAAGGAATTTCAAGGAAGTTTCAGTCGCATTGCCTCCCGAGACGTTGAAGAGAAACTATATGGAGGCACATGGAATGATTGATCTTTGGTGTGGTGTTTTGAAAGAACCTCTGACAACAGGGCTGTGGGAATTGACCACTTCTGTGATACAAAAGAAAAAGCTTCCCAAAGACTAACCCCCTATGCTCAAGGGGGGAGATTCCCTAGTATCACAGAAGTAGGGATGTGGTTGTAGTCCCCCAGTTTGAAGTGGACGAGTGGGCGCGCCAGGGGATGTCTTCTTGGCAGTGAAGGTCTTGCAGAGAGCGCTTTTCAACTGGACTCAGGCGAGAGTGCGCGCGGAGCTCCAAACGGAAGTGAATTTGTGCATCTCTTGAGGAGTTGTTAGGGTCTTTGAATGCGGAAGCGAAAAGGAGCACACAGCACAGGATGTTTTTTGTTTTTCCCGCGTGCAAGACAAACTCAATCAAGCATGCTGATTGATATGAAGGGGGTTCCGGTTGGTGACCTCCGGGTTTCGCCAACGCAGAGTCCATGAACCAGGGCTGGCGACTGAGAGTTTGCAAGACGACTGGGTAGGCGAAGCTGCATGCCCAATTTCCAAAATGGAAGTGGGGTGATTTGCCGTAGATCCTGCAATTTGAAGTATGGTTCCATGTTCCACTTAGGTTACGGATGGAATTGGACCCGCCACCCTCCTTTTTGGTCAACACGGAAGGCCCTGATTTCTGCGTGGCGGAATCCATCTTATCCACGGACAGGTCCCTCGTGTCCAGAAGGAGGGAATCATTCTGTCCGTTTGCGTCGCAGGAGCGTGAGCTGGCTCAGGTGCGCACCCCAGATTCCTTTTTCGTGCTTACATAGCTGTTATATGGCTGTGGTGAATTCAGCAACCATTTTAGAACCTATTTTAGTGGGGATTGGGATGTTCACTGGGGGTAGGATTTGGATTTTGACCCATGGCCATATGTCTCGTTGCCAGCGGCTCCTCTCTTGCCGTCGCTTGGCTTGTGTTGAAGAGTTGCGAATTTTGAGCTGGAGCTGCGGCACCTTGTTCTGCGCTACCTGGAGTCTCCATGACATTTGAAAAATGTTTGGTCGTTACCCAACATAAGTCATGGAGACTCCAGGGACATTGTGCTACTTACTTGTCAAGCACTGATTTCTATCTGACACACCGGAGTACCAAGGACCCGTTACATATCTCCGAACAAGATTCGCGCCGCGTTGCGCGTTGGGTACCCCACAAAAAGTCACGGCCATTTGACCCATGGTAGCATGCAGCGATGTTTTGGAGCCCCATTGTCAGGGCCTGGAGTTCGGCCCAGGATGCTGAGCAAGCATTCAGGAAATAACATACTTCCATTCCCCAGCGCGTGTCGTCAGGGCATGCGGGACGTCTCTTGTCAGCCTTTGCACTTTCTCTCATGAGGCCCTCAGATGTTTAGGGGAAGGGTTCCACAGCTTTCGCAAGCCGCGGGGCCTTTTGCTCTCAGACGCTTGACCTGGGTTTTCCCAAACCCTCTCGCATACCCCAGATCGCTCCAAGGGAGGTACACAGGACATGTTGGGTGGCACGGATGTGCAGCAACGCTTGGGCCGCTCCTGGAAGCACTACATTTTTCAGGGGCTCATACAACGAGGCTACGCCCCGGAATGTACCCAAATGGTCCAGAGGAACAACAACACAAACCTTGTGGTGGGAACATTTGAGGATGTTTAGAAATAGGGGTACCCCAAAACTGGTTTTCCTTTAAGCCCACCAAAACTAAGTTCACCCGAAAAGACAAAACCCATTTGCAAGTTGGCCAATTGCTCTGTGGTTTCCCCTCGGACCCTGGAAGTTCGTTCATGATTCCAGCGGCCTGGCGATGGGTTCAGGACTCGGGGGACTCATTTTTGCCGGCACTGGGGACTGACTAGAGCTCCGCCATGTCCACTTGGACTTGTCTTTTCCTGAGGAAACACCGAAAGTGGATAGTTCCGCTTTGATTCAGCAACAACCCACGCCCAAGAAGGGTGTTTATCCTCAAAAAGGACAAAGTACTGTTAAACAGGGTAATTACCAAGCACACCCTCAAGCGGCCATGGTCATAACCTATGCCTCCATTTTGGGGCGGATGAACACTCATGTACTTGTACCGTACCCCCTATTTTTATGTTCACCAGGGGTACAGGGTTTTGACCCCCACAGCCAAACACCACCATGCCCATTGTGTGGCACATAGCGGCCGCGAGTCGTGACGCCGATCCCTGCCCAGATGGCGCCTCCGCCCGCCGCGCCGGCGATGCCGATGAACGCGGCCAACTTGCTGAACCAGACGCAGGCGAGGTGTCGCGGGCGTGCCTTTTGAATGGTACCCCTTCGCTGCAGGCGCCACAAACAAGCGACATATGTGCCAGTGAAGTTTGCATATGGGTTCGCCTTTTTGGGGGGAATCAAAGGGCAAGGAAAAAGATGGGCCTTTCGGCGTTGAGGGGATCCTTTAGAGTCTACCGAGGGCCCATGTTAGGTGTCTCTCGGCTGATGTAGCTGCGCATTCATGTCAGGCTGCCAGAATTGTGATACCAGCTTTAGTTTGGAGCACGGATCATGCAGCTCCGACATTTCGGTCGCTGGATTGGAATCAGGCCGCAGGCAGGCTGACAATCAGCTAGATTTCCAAGGTGTCGGGCCAGGTCGCGTTGGCTGGTCGACCATGTTCGCCCATGTCAATGAGGGGTCATTCCGCTGAACCCCACAAGGGCCAGCCTTGTGGACAAGTGGGCCGCGTTGTCGGCGTTGCCTTTTGCTCTCAGCACCAAGATGAGACCCCACAGACCCTTCCTTCGAGTCTCCCGAGTTGGCTGTTCTTTGAGGTCCGCCAAGTCTCGCCGTTGTGGATGAGTTAGACAGGCAGATTCCACAGGTTTTTATGTGGGTTCTCATTTCCCAGTGCCATCAAGTGTTCAAAGGGGACTGGGCCGACATGTTGGGCGTGGGGGCCATGGGACAAAACGGCTCCCGCCGCAAAACACGAAATGCAACGCTAGCAGGTCAGCAAAAGGATCCTCAACAACATGCAGAAGGAGATGCGAGTCGAGTGCCCGGAGGCAGCCATATGTGTACATGTGTGTACATGTGTGTTTGAGACTCGGCAAGTAGCTTTATAACAGGCTGGATTAAAGGGAAACCAAAGGACAGCCTGCAGTTTGGGGTCCTCTATTTTGACATATCATAGGTGGCACTTTCCTGCATATTATATTTTAGTATGTAGTATCCGCAGAAACCTCTTACTCAGGCACAGGCTGTTTGGTTGATCCAAGCAGAGAAAGGTTAGCTGTGTCCCTCGCGCGGATGCAGAGAAGCTCGCGCATGGTTGGGTGTTGCATCGCAAGCAAGCTGTGGCTGAAGAACAAGCAGGGCTTCAGCCCGCCAGCTGCCTGTTGAAGTTAGGTCTTACGGACTCTGGACTCCACGAAATTTGTTTTTGCTGCTCCTCCCATATTGCCAATTGGCCGCCTGAAATCCTGCGGCGACCTTGACCAGTTTTGCCAGGTTGCCCGGGGGTCTGGCTCTGTTTGCACAGAGCCCGATTCTGCAACGTGCTCATCACCGTCGCATCTGACAGCTCCAGTTTTTCTATGGTAGGCCAGAAACCGCCAAATGCAGAATCTAGCGGCTTTTATTTCCAAGGGCTTGCCTGGATCCCCGGGTTGCTTGGACAAGCGGGATTCGGTTTGCTGCGGCAGCTGGCGGGGCTCATCAGCCTGCTGGTCCACATGCTGATCCGCAACAAGGATTGGGCCACTGTGCCGGGCGCCGCAGCTCCGGAGTTCTCATGGGATTTTTCTTCTCGGGCGTTGATTTCGTCGACTTTCTAGGGTTTGATTCCCCATTCTTTTCAACCATCGTTCTTTCCAATAACTGGCCGTGTTCCCAGGGTGTCCGGAGGTTTTCCAGAAAGAAGGATCCCTGCAAAGAATGGGGAAGGTACCCCTAGAGACTTGGTGTGGTTCGCCGTTTCGCCAAACAAGGTTTCAAGAAGTTTGGGGGAAGGACAAGAGAACAAAAAAAGGCGAAGGAGTTGCGGTTGAAGCTCGCCGAAGTTCGCTTGTTCTGGCGACTGGCCCTTTTCTTGGGCCTGATCTTTACGGTCGGGGTTCCTTGGGCCCATAGGGATGACTCTGGGGTTTCTACATCAGGAAGAGTCTCCGGAAGCACACAAAAACTCTCCAATTCGGAGAATGCCTGGGCCATGCGGACAACGGTGCTTGAAAAGGTCCACACCAGAACCGTTGCGGCCGCTTTCCTGTTTGCCAATGATCTAGCCACACCTGCCCCACTCTGTTCAGGAATCATTATCTTGCGCAAGTGGTCCCAACCTCCAGAGAATGTTTCTTTTGTTTCAGAAGAGAAGAATGGGCCATTCAGAATGGGTGAAGAGAGTGGATCAAGTCATGCATAGTGTGCTACTCTGAATCTAAGTCTAAGCTATTTGCGCTCTCTGTGGCTTGACTGTTACGAGAGATCTCAAGTCCAATGTGTGCATGCGAAACTTGACATCGGATTATCTCTTTGCAGAAGTCATTTCCAGCTCACATTGAACAGGCCACACCAATCTCCAATTCGGTACTTGTACCCAACGCTTAGTAACCTAGGTCATATACCTCACTTCTAAGTTCACCTAGGAGTCGCCTCAATGGGTTGCAACCCAGGCTAGCTGGGCTGAACATAGAAGTTGGTTGCTCTTAGGATAGCCACCGTGGACCAAATCTTCGAGAACAAGGAGATGATGAAGAACCTGTCGCAGGCGACGATTGGTCTCAAAATGAGAGAACCTCCGCCAACGGATGCTTCCCTTCGAATTCAGTTTTAAACCACCAAAAAGGGATACTGTGCCAAAGGCGCATCCACAGGTGAGCAACATGAACGTTTGAGTGCATTAGCATAGCTTGGGTCTGGTTGACTTGCAATGCTCAGAGCCTCACACATACTAGGAGCACTTTCAATTGCCCCCTTCATGGCGTAAAGTGATGTCCATATACGCCACATGAGTTTCGGTAACACTGGAGTGTAAGGCGCTCCCTGCTTAATTTCACTCTGGTTTGCTTTGCTATGTTCTTGTGTGTTCCACCAGTCAGTTTGCCCTTAACTGGTTGCACTGGCTTCAGGATTTGAGCCCCAAATTCCTGCTGAAACTCGATTCGAAAAGTAGCCACAGAAGCAATTCGAACCAGATCACCCCGGGATAAAACCAGCTCACTCGAGGTGAAGGTCCCAAAATGTCCCAAGATTACGTGCACTGGTTTCCAGGAACCATAGTACTTTGCAAAGACCTGTATTTGAATCTCAGTTCCCCTAGGCTTCCATCTACCCAAAGGCTTCGCCTCTAAACCAGCAGGCCTCACAGTACCAAGGTTCCAAGGGCAACCTGGGTCCATCCATTCGGTGGCCTCGCGCGCAGGGGGACAAGGACACGCTGAAGCTGCGCAAGGCTGTGGCCGGGAAGCCAGTTCTGTGGCATGTCTCTGTGCTGTGCGGGCGCTTAAAAGGTGCCCTTTTCAACTGGGTTAAATGGCCGTGGGTCAAAAATGGGTACCCAAAATGGAACCCTGGTAAATGGAACCAAGGACTAAAACCTGCGGTCCCCTGGTGGTTTAATTTTGACCCACACCCAAATGGGAACAGAAAGAAACCCTACCATAGAGATCCAACAGGGCCACAAGGGATGGTTGGGGTCATTCCATTTCTCATTGCCCTGAGAACCAGGTGACAGGTTGCGGGCCCTTCTGACCATCGCCTTCTTTAAGTCCCTTTCTGGCGCCGGTTCCCCATCCCACCGCTGGGCTTCCCTGAGCCGGACGAGAGGTCGGCGGCTGAGGCCTCCCACAAGTTGGAGTTCAAGAAGCCCTTCTCCTCCAGGCCATCTCGGACGCGTGCCGTGCGTTTCGCGTTTCGCCGAGTTTTTTTTTCTTGGAGTGACGAAAGAAAACCCAAGGTTGAACACCCTGAAGCTTCCTACTCTGACATCATATACCCAAGCGTGCTTTGACAGTGAAACTCGCTTGCCATACTGTTGACCCGGTTGAGGGGTCGATTTACGACGATCACCTGGCGTGTATTTGACCTCAGTTTGCTGCACATGTGCGAGGGAGTGTTTCTAGGATTTAGGTCCCTGACGATGGCATGAAAGCTCCCAGGGCAGACGCTTTTGTTTGCAAAGATGGCTGCATGCCGAGTCAAATATTTGATTCAGGGATCAGTCGCTTGCAGTTTCTCCTGCACGACCGACACGATATCAAAAGCATAAAAACGAGTGTTCAAGGGAAACCGAGCACAAACGATGCCACCGGGGACCGATTCCTTGAGAAGTACCCAGCTGTCGCCAGCGGCCAGTCTAGTGTTCGAGGAGGTCCAGGCCAACTTTCAGGCTGCCCGGATCTAAGACGGTTGCGCATAAAGAAACTCGGGGCTCTTTATTGTGTTTGTCACGACGGGGTGATGTTGTTGTTGCTGCTGCCTGCTGGTGCTGTTGTTGTTGCTGCTGCTGCTGCTGTTGCTGCTGCTGCTGCTTCTGTTGCTGCTGATGTTGCTGCTGTTGCTGCTGTTGTCGTTGTCGTTGTCGTTGTTGTTGTTGTGGTGGTGGTTGTGGTGGTGGTGGTTGGTGGCTGTGTGTTGTTTCTTGTTTGGCGATTGTTGTTTGCTGTTTGTTGTTTGTTGTTTGGTGTTTGTTGTTGGTTGTTTGTTGTGTGTTGTTGTTTGTTGTTTGTTCATTGTTGTTTGTTGTTGGTTGTTTCTTGCTTGTTCTTTGTCGTGTGTTGCTTGTTGTTTATTGTTTGTTGTTTGTTGCTCGTTGTTTGTTGTTTGTTGTTTGATTTCGTTTTTTGATTTTGTTGCTTGTTGATTGTTGTGTGTTATGTGTTGTTGTGGTTGTTGTCGTTGACGTTGTCGTTGTCGTTGTCGTGGTGGTTGTTGTTGTTGGTGGTGAGTGGTGGGTGGTGGGTGGTGGGTGGTGGGTGGTGGGTGGTGGGTGGTGGGTGGTGGGTGGTGGTTGGTGGTTGGTGGTTGGTGGTTGGTGGTTGGTGGTCGGTGGTTGGTGGTTGGTGGTTGGTGGGCTGTGGTTGGTGGTGGTGGTGGTGGTGGTGGTGGTGGTGGTAGTGGTGTTGTTGTTGTTGTTGTTGTTGTTGTTGTTGTTGTTGTTGTTG